AATTTTCCAACTGCATTACAAATAGGAAATTTGGGAACTCGCGACATCTATACATCAGGCGCTAGGGATTGTTTTTTATTTTGAAGAGGAATGTAGCCAAACCCCTTCCCCCCTACTAGGCTGCGGAAGCTTTGAGTACCTCCACTTTGTAGTCAAAAGCCGAGAACAACCCCTTCATATAACTTCAGAGGCGGTCTCTCACAATTCGCTTCAATTGTATATTTCTAGTGTCGAAGATATAAACATTATAGAAACAACGTTATTAGTAGTAACAATCAAAGTAATGAGGATAATCTCAATGAGGTGTGACTTTTTTCTTCTTAGAATATCATTCGAATGGCTTTGGGTACTCTTTTCCAAATTTGTATAAGAGCGGATGGCCTCGATGACGTAGCGAAGGTGAATGCGCAAAACAACGGTGAACTCATAAGACTGCTAATTGAACACGCCAGGTAAACGTAAAATTTGTTTTTGATTTGGAATAGTTGTAAAGATTTAATATCAGGACAGTCCCATTCTCTTGCTACAAGTATGCATTGCTAACCTTGCATAGCTTGGTTTCTGACAAAGTTCACGGATCTCAGTGCGCTCAGCAAGCGAGGCAGATGGACACTATGCAGGTAGAAGTTTGACAAAAAAGCGGAGTATACTACTATTAACTAAATTGGGAAATATCTCCTGTTCGTATGTTTCAATAGTTTCCATCAGATTTTGTTCAGGTTGTCTCCGAATGGTTGCAACATGAAAAGAGCGAGAAGCTTCTTCCTGTTATAGTAGACTTAGTACGGATACTGTGTGACAAGAATCATGAGCAGAAGGTAAGATTTACATGCAATTTATGCTTCAACAAAATAATATATGTCGTTTTCCAGGCATACTTCCTTGGTATGAATGGAATACCAAAACTGTTGAACATTCTCAAAAAATGCCTATATGAGAATTGTCTTTGGAGAACAACTCGATTACTTACCATGTTTTCTAATTTTGTAAGTCTTTTTCTTTATATACTTAACCTTTTCGAAGTTCTCAAAGCTACGGTGGAAATAATGGCAATCTTGCAGATTCCTCTTTTTTTTTGTGATAACCTTACATAGTCTTTTCTGAATGTTCAGAATCCACAAATGCTGGTGCAATGTAATGCGCCAGCAGTACTTGCACCTCAGCTGGCACACGATTCCGAACGATTGGTGTTGGTTTCGCTAGAGTGTCTTCGAAATATTAGCGATGTCCCAACAGAAGCTAATCGTTGCGAACTGCTGCGAGCATTACTGCGATTGTTTGGACATCGTAATCATAAGGTTATACGATATACACTGGATATTCTTGCAAACCTTTGTGCAAATAACAAAGTTAACAAGGTATGGTGTTTTTATAGAATAAAAAAGGGGGTAAGATATAATACAGCTAAGATCTCAAAGAAGAGCAATTGTTGGATAAGATTTAGCAAAGCTAAAGGTTGTTCCCAAC